CTTTATAAAAATGATCACATGTGAAATATTTTTTCAAATTTAAGCTCAAACAACAATAATTTTCGAATGAAATTTAAAAATTTTGTCAAAAATGGCTAGTTAAAAAGTCGAAATTTGTCAGAAGAAAAAAACCCACCCCGAGCACAAATATTCAGTTACTTTCGTATCGAAAGTCGAAACAATTATTCCGTTGTTTTGAGTCGGGTTTCGCATTTGATCTATATTATTTATGTATTATTGAATAGAGCCTGTAGATGAACTTTAGATAGTTTATGGCACCGGATTTTTTTATGTCTCTCACTAGAAGTTTTTGCAGAAAATGACGGAAAATTGGTGCTCTGATTAGTGTTATCTAGACAGCTTTTGATCTTAACTAGAAATTGCAGAGTTTGAAAAAAATTGCTGCCTTCAACTCAGAGCTAGAAAGATGGTAGTAGGTTTGTAAATCGATGTATCAGCGAACCGAAAACGGGTTGACTATAATAGTGAACCGAAAATTCATGATTCAAATACATAATCACATTAGCTAAATACTGAGATATTTACAAAAACGACAAATTTTTTCTCGAAACAAAAACTAAATCAAAAAGTGAAAAAAATTAACTCTTTCCGTGAGCCCCGTTTGGTTAAATTTATTAATCTAGCGCAGGGAAAACTTATTCTGTAAGTCTTTATTTCCGCAGTAGATGTTTTTATTACGCTATTCGGTTTACTGATCTGGAATTTAGTGACATATCAATTTACTGTACGCACATCTAAAAGTTTTTTTACCGGAGAGCATCTTTTTTTAATTATGGTGGCTTGAAAAGTCGCAACTTGGAATCATTAATCATTTTTTGCCGTTATCATCTTCTATTAACGCGTAGCTGCAATGTTACAAAACCTCAAAAAGCATGCCATTTTGAATTGAGCAAGCTTTGTTGGTCCAAATAACGCAAAAATATTCGAGAAATTTATCACTTTCAACTTGGCATTTCATGTGGTGGAAGGTGTCGAAAATACTCTCAAAAGCGTTTTTGAATTTTATCACCAAAAGCTACTTCATATACTCTAAAGAGCAGTACAAAAACATGGCTCCACTCTGAAACGAGCAGTCTTGTTATATTTAATTCAAAAACTATCCATATTCTTTTCCAAAATGTTTTCAACTTTCAAAGTTGGCCAGAAAAACCTCCTATTTGAAAATAATTTGGAAAGTATTATCAAAGAGTGTATGTATCTGAAAAAAAAACTAATTAAGAGCAGATTTTTTTTGCAGGTGGAACAGTGTTTGAAACGTCTGGCCGAAACTTTGTGCTGGATGCTTCTTCTCCCAACTACAGTCTGCAGCTGATACCATACCTGTCAAACATCAACCCCAATCTGCCTGCAGTTCCAGGGTCTTACCATGTGACTCAATCTAGGAACCAATTTAACTTTCATAATCAACTTTCACACGTTTCATAATCAGAGCAGATGTTTGGTTACATTGTTCTCAAGTTACATGTAACAAGTTATTAATCTTTTTTGGCATTTTACCGCAAAAAAATATTATATAAGTACGCTATTTATGAATTTTAAAAAAAATAAACTTTTTTGAACAGAGAGAAAGAGAGAGGGAGATATCAAAAAAAAATTTGGCCTTCCTGAAAGAAGAATCATAATATTCAAGAAATTAGCATATAATATTTTGCCTATATTTTACCATGTGTAGAAAACTAATACCTCACAATTAATGTAAATAACAAAATATTAAATTGGTTCGAATGTAGAATTCTCGTGCCGCCTCGCCTCAGCTCGGCTCTAATGGTCTCTTTCGAAGCAAATGACGACTTGACACCGGTGTCGATCTTTTTCACTCCCGGTAAGTCTATGTTTGTATAATTACTTGTATGGGACATGCTTTCTTGTTTTTTGTTCCAACTTTCGAAGAAAACGGAATTTTTATGCTTGTGGTGGTTTTTTTATCAGTATAAAACCAATTGATAATGATGCTGAAAGCGTAACGCGAATCACACACAATTATCACGCACAACAAAATTGTTCCAAATTGAATTAAGGCTAGCTAAGTTGATCAGTCATATTAATTTTGTAGCTGGAAGTTTCGGTGGAGTCCCTCATAGGCGAAAGATTGAATGAGCCAAAACAAAAATCAGCCAATCAGACTTCAGTATTCCAAAACTTAGAAATAAAGCGTGAAAATTTCAAGGAGAGTGAACATTTTCAGGGACTTAATATTATATTGGATGAGCATAAAGATGCAGAAACAATCAAAACTTTCAAATTGCCATTGACCGCCCGAGAATTGGAACGAATTGTATATTTCAACGGTTTCGTTATAAAAAAAAAGAAAAACATAGCTTTTATTTTTTTCCTTTTAGTTGAAAGGCAATTGATTCATTTTGGTAAATGTTTTGGACTGTTTTTGCTTTCGGTCTTTCGCCCATTTGGTCTTTTGCCTATGAAAATATCCCATAGAATTTCACACTTGATCTTCGATTTCATCCAATCTTGATAGTTTTTCGATATTTTACCACAAAAACTAATCGATATGGATGCAGGGGCTGTCGGAACATTCAGAGTTTGCCCTGATATACGAGCAGTTTTATTTTATTTGACACTCCATTTTTAAGCAAAGGACTGCAAAACTTTTAAGATAAATTGAGCATCAATGATTTTGCCTTCCAACAAGCCAAATTTGTTCAATTCAAACATCAAAAACTGCAACGGAAAACTCGAAACTGAAATATTGTTTTTAACCTTTTGAGTCATGATTATACATCTGAACTCTGGTATTAATTTCTATATAATAACATAGAAACACTCAGGGCTAGTGTTAAACATACCATTGACAAACATAATTATCTTATTTCAGAAATGAATTGTAATGATGTTCTTTTAGATAACACAAATATTGAATAGCAACACTCAAAAGATATTGCAGACAAAAAAAATTTCAACAAAAAATTCTATTTTTTTGTCAAATTGCAAAAACAAACGTTTAAAAATATTAGGTATCTACTATAAAATCCCCCCATTCTGATTTGTTAAAACTTTGATTAACTTTTTTAAAATGTAAAACAAAAAACTAAAAAATGCGTATACCAAAAAAGGTCTCATTGAAACATTTTTTGGACTAAATTTGAAGAGCGTTTTCCCACCATTGGCGGAAAACTTGCTGGAAAATTGATGAAAAAAGTAGAAAAAGATTTCACATTAAATAATTTCGTAAATATAAAACGCTTAAACACTCAAAATATGGAAAAAAATAATTATCAATAAAATAACCAAAGAACAGGCTAGGCCTTTATAACATAAGCTATTTTATCTCAAAAAATGGCAACTTATTTTTAGCGAATGCTGGTATTTGTCTAGCAAAATTTTTTTGATTCCAATTTTTGTTCTGACCACTGAATCTAGGGAGGAAGTCTGTATGCGTTTTTTATAGCTTTTCGTTCTTTTTGATTGTTTTCCATGCAAAATCAGTACCAAAATTAATCAATTCTATTCACGACATAAAAAACGTTTCAACAAAATATCTCAGTGTCGGTAACTTTCAAAGATTTGTACCGGAAAGACCGGTTTGAAGTTTGTGAGTTGTAGGTTTAATAATACAATCCCATACATCGAATCTATGGAACAACTGTTTGTGATAAAGTTTCCAATTGTGAAAATTGAGTGATAGGCATTTTTTTATTACAAAAACTACTTAAGCTGAAACTTAAAAACTGAAGAAAACTTCTCCATGTTGTATGTGCGAGAAATCATATCTGTGTTCAAACAAAAGTTTTTCAAAAAAAACTGCATACAAGGATGTAATTATTTTTGGACCTAGCCCAGAATCATTTTTTACACTAAATAACCGCAAAATACAATAATAATTTTGTGTTCAGTCAGATTTATCTCTTCTTGTTTCAAAATGCTGAGATATAATAAGTTTGTCAAAAAATCAGGTCACGGTTTTTCGACCGCTAGTTTTTTTTTACAGCTTAGAGGGTCTGACAAAAATCACAGTTTTTACAAAAGTTTTGAAATTCAATGGTTAACTTATTATGCGAATCGGCGAAGTTTTTCATTTGTGCTATTTTTGCCTCTTATTTTATGGGTTTTTTGATACGAGAAAACACAAGTTTTTTTTGGATAAAACACAAAAGTTTAAAGCCAAACTCGATTTTGCTTTTATGCGTAAAACAATTCTCATATAACTTCCATTTACGGAAAAACTCTCATCATATAGTTTTTTATGGATGAAAATTGCATGAAAAACATTTTTGGTCAAACCGGGTAGTTTGAGATCAAACTATCAATACTGTTTGTTTTTTAAAGCAAACAACGTAGAATAATTTAGCTTCGAAGCTTAAGTTTCTTAACTTAGAAGATCAAGAAACAACAAGTGTAGCCGTTTACTGAGCTCGTTACGCCCAAACGTTTCAAGTTCAGGCAATATTTTTGATTAAGTTCTGAAGAGCAAACCATCGAAAAAACTGAGGAGAGGGTACGTCGTGATTAATCTTGGGGTTGAAAACAAATCTGGAGGGCTTTTAGTTAAAATGATGTAGAACAATCGTACTTTGATAACATTTTATTTTGATTTGTATAATTAAAAAGAAAATAGGGCGAGAAAAAGGCCCGTTTTTCTGAACAATGGTAAAAAAAATCAAAGTTTTCAACCTCAGTTCAAATAACAATTAAAATAATTTCGATGGATTATGTTTTTTACCCTGTTTGCCCTTTTCTTGAGGCAGCTGAAATGCGAGGAAAAACCACACACAAGTCCAAACATTCTCCGGAACTTCGGTATTCGGAATTAATCAGATGTATAATCTATATGTTAATTTATACCTTGTTAATGTTAATGTTTCGATCGTCAAGGTCGTCATGTTTCGATTCTATCTGCAATATCAAATGATCGGTTTGAGAAAACGGACTTTGAGGTTGAAGACAAAACACTGATTGCGAGCCTCGGTACTGTCTCGAACTTCGCAGATGACGATTATGATTTGAATTTGGATGCAAACGCACTGGACATTAACGTAGCTTGGCGCATTTCTGACACGGCAGTATCTGGGTTCCATGAAATCACCATTTCTGCGAATGACTACAACGCTACGTCATATATAGACATACAAAACACTTCTAGTGGAGCTGCACAAATATGCCCACAATTTTCGGAATACATTTCAATACATTCTGACGATTTGAACAAAACTGGATTTACGAAAGAAGATATTAAAATTTTTTCCCGAATAGCAATTTCAAACTGTTATGTGAAAAATCTAGAAGTTCACTTCAGATTGGAGAATTCGTCACACTTTTTGATGATCAAGCGGATATTTATTTCCAAATTTGGAAGAAACCTTGAGCGAACTAAGACGAAGTCTGAATTTTTTTCGTCTCACGGCGATTCAAGGTCACCTGATTACGTAAGACTGGATCTCGGGGATGTATACAATACAAATGCATATTGCTCTGGAAAAGAATTTATGTGTGGGAAAAGCGAAAACGAAATTGAGGTCACAATGATTGTGACCTTTTTGGATCATCAGGAGCTACAAAACATGCAACAGTTCCCGTTCAGTTTGGATTACAGGGGGGATACTCTGTTCAAAAGTGAAAGTGGGATCATCAATTTTGATTTCGATCCATGGGGTAAGCGTAGGGTTGTTTAGAGAAATTGTTGTCATCATTCCCTGAACGCAGTAGCGTGCCGAGAGAGAGAGGGGGGGGGTGGCGACCGCCCTTCCAACTCCCTCAATTCTGGTTGCAAATTTTTCCAAAGGGCCCCCTTTGGTATAACTTTACGACATCCATTTTTGGCTGACCAAATTCAAAAAATTTCTAAAGGTCGATATTATTAATTTTGAGGGGGGAGCGCGCGCCAAAAAAACCGTTTTTTTTTTTGTCAAAATGTTCCAAAAAGTGCCCAAAAACGCCTTTTTTGCCTGTTGTTTTTTTTAAATTTGCTTGCGGTGCAGAAAATTTTTGAAAAAACAGTGTTCTTGGAGAGTAAAGTATTTTTGGGGAGCTCAGAAAATTCAATTGGTCTATTTAAAAAACAGTTCATGAAAATTTTTATTATTTTCCTGAAAAACCGCCCCCCCTAGAAAAATTTCTGCGCACGCCACTGCCTGAACACCAGCAAAAACCACTTCGACGGAAAACTCGTGCTTTTCATGGAACGCAATCTGGTGGACAAGTAAAAGGGTCCTGAAGGTGCGACGAAAATTTTTAGGATTGATTGGCTAATAATAGTATTTTATTATTTGAGATTAAAACTTCTCTTTGGGTTAATGAAAAAAAATCATATTCGGGGTTTCTGAAGAAACTTTTAATAGGTATTTTTCTATTTCCAAATCTTCGCTCGCTATTGAATGATCTTTGTACCAAATCTTCGTCGATAAGTTTGATTTCATTTTTTCTGACTGATAAATATCCATATAAAATAAATCCTTTGATTTCTAGCGACACCCAAAATCTGCTCGACAGCCCAAGTAGTTGCGGATACTTACCCTGTTCAAGAAGACGGAAAATTCATCGTGAACTTCGATATGGAGCACTGCCAAAACTCCAGAGCCGCCGCCAGAGATCCCAGTATGGCTCTCATAACGCCACACTATGTCCATTTAGAGTCCTACTTCCATTTTTCGACCACTGATGAAAATATTTTCTGCCAATTCGACAATATCAGCGCGTTTGTCAATTGCACCGGCAATTGGAATCTTCTAGACACTATAAGTTTCACAATACATGTGAAAGTTGATGCTGACAAGATGCCGTTAACTTCTCGCGACTACTTGGCCGAAACGTTGTACTGCGTCGAATATAGGCAATTTATTAGAAATGAACTCAGTTCAATTTATTCTGACGAATACCAGTTTTTTGAAAAGTGCGACTCAGTTTCGATCTCTATTTTTCGTTCGCCACAGGGATGCGACGATGTGGTCGATCTTTCAACTTTTGAAGAATGCCAAATCAGAACTTCCTCCGATATGTTCATTAAAAGGTCAGGCTTGACGGCATTTTTCACTAACTTACAACCCGGCTGGCTTAGTAACTCATGGGGTGGCGTTCAGTACATGAAAATTGGACTGAAAGCCGAGTATAAAATAACTGGAATTCGGATCCGAGCAGAAGACAACGTGAATTGCTTCTTCATTAAAGTGAGTTTTGAGGGCACGTTATGGTCGCTGTTCGAAGACAAACTCGGCCACTCTGTTTTCTGTGCGAACCAATCAGAACTGGTTGATGTGGATGGTCTATCGGCTCATTACTTTAAGTTCACAGATTTGCAGACTCGCTATATAGGCATGGAATCGATTAACTTTAGGCTCTCAAAATTATACCTGGTATGTTACATACCTGAACATAAATATTAAAATTGACATCATCAAACCATATGCTTTATTTGTATGAAATATTAAGTTCCACTTATTTCTAAAACATACCAAAATACTATTTGCTCGTTTACATCATTTGAAACTAATGGTAGCAGAAAATCAGATATTACGACCTGTTTTTACTCCCCTTTATACAATTATTTTAGTCTTAGTACCATGTTATATGCAAAACATATCCTGATATCCTGATAAGGTTATAATATTTTGGAGCCTAAACTTAAGTCGAGTATTGTAGGAATTTTTGTGACCGACTACACTGGAGATGTGAATGCTGTCACGATGCGATTGGAACTCATGGGATGTATGGAATCAAATACGTTCTCATTGTCAGGTTATTACCTTAACATATTTTTCTTTTTTCTTCTGTGTGAAGTTTTCACATAACATGTAACTCACGTCAAAAACAAGCCGCTACAGCCTGTTTCACTTGCTAGCACCCAAAAATAATTGTTACAGGTAACATTCACCTTTCTAAGTTGTTTTTGCAACCAGCTCATTTTGCTTTCTTAGAACAAAAGAAACGAGGGTAAAATTCAGCTTACAGAATTTACAGATTAACATCGAAAAGTTATGAGTTAGGACCGAAGTGTAACTCATAGAGTAATTTCGGATAGGGTACACCGTCTGCTCGTCACGCTATCTTATTTTCGGCCGGATAGATTCGTGCAACTTCTTAGTCTAATACCGATCCTAATCTTACTCTTATACTATCTAGTCTCAGGTTGTTTAACTAGTCTCTGCTAGGCTCAATAGATCTAGGGTATACTGGTTTATTGCGGCTGCTGAAGTGCTCGGGAGAGTCCAACTAATTTCTAAGTTAAATTCAAATCTCTCTGGTGCTGAAATTACAAGTAACTTCAGCACTTACAAATAAGTGGGTTGTTAGTTAGATGGATCATGATTGGTTAATATTAAATACTTTACATTGGTAAAACATTTAATTTATCCAATCATAAAATATAGTTTAGATCAGGTTCCACCCATCCGGGTTTTACAGAGTTTTTTAGAACAGTTCTTCTGTAATTCAAGGGTGGATGATGGACGTTGGTATTTGGCGAACATCATAATTTTCTTTCGCTTCTTCTTGTGACAACGACTGAGTCTCTGCAACAAAGTCAATTCTGATTCCAGAATGGTTGGCTATGTCAGGTTTTTCTGTTCTGCGTGGAGAACTTCTTTTGTGTATGATCTAGTTTGGGAATGGCGTGGAGATTGTGCGTGGAGGGGATGCCTGGTTACTCGGATCTGTACGTATACTTGAACATCGAGGTGGTCATTGGTCTAGTTCAATGAAGTCCTTTTCTGCGAAGTCAAGTCGTACTCTAAATCCTTTGAGTTGTGATTGTGAGCGGCATATCGATTGTAGTTGGTCATTCTCTCTCGAGTGTAGTGAGGTCGTCTTGTCTTTTGATGTTCGTCCTTGGTGTTGTATTCTGATCTATATATTGCATCATGTGATTTTACATTTTATAAAACTTTTATTAGTTTAATATTTTTTTATAATGATTTTAGTTAGTTGTTTTCACAAAAGCTTTTTGTTTTAGTTCGGTTATTTTGAAGAGTTACTCACCCTTGAGTAGCTCTTATTAAAAATAAAGGTGTGGTCACAAAGCGTGGATGTAGCGCGGTGGGTTAGGCCGGCTATAGAGCATGCTCAGGACGTCCTTTCCTGGTGGGTTAGGCCAGGAGTGGGAGTATGATTTCATGCGGTGTTTGTGAGGGGTCCTGTTATGTGACAACGTTTTATGTTGGGTTTGTTGTGGTTTTACTTATGTCTTGTTGGTTATGTACTTTTTCCAAAAAGCAAATTGTTTGTGGTATGGGTTTGTCTTTCGACTTTTTTGTGTTTTATTATTTCTTTCTAAGACTTTGTAATAGTCTTCAAAAGAATAAATTATCCAGTTTTAAACTGGGTTAATCCGGTTTGGGTACCGTTGGTTTCCTTTTCTAAGTCATGCTGTTATTCTATGATTTGTGGTATTTAGTAAGCTGCGTTGGTTAGTTTTGTTTAGTATATGATTCCTTTCCAACCGGGTTAAAGGAAAGTTTGAAACATGTTATTGTATGTTAGAGTTGTTGAGTGTGAAAACTTGAAACTGAAATTCATTATTTTAAACAATTCATCGTGGGCGAGCTGTGCGAGTGTGGATAGAATTTCTGTGCGAATGAATGAAAATATCAAAAGGTTAGTACTGCAATTGCATTTTATTAATTTACTACATAGAATTTAGAAATTTACTGCTAGTTATGGGGGAATTTTAAGATACAAATTTTCATCATATGTAGATTTACTGCTTTTGGGGGGAAATTTTATAAATTAATTTACTGCATTGGTATTATATTTATGTAATTGTTGGTGCAAAAGTTGAATAGGGTCTTAAACAGTTTTGAAGAAGTTTGCTATTTTTTATTTTTCTTTTGTGAATTTTTCAGATGATCTAGGATGAAGGCTAAAAATCTAAAGAAAACATGAATAAAGAATGGTGAGTTTTTAATACTGTAATTAATTAGTAATATTTACTTAATTCATACTTACCTGTTAGTCGTCGGGGAAAAAACCGTGGGGGAAGATGTCGTGAATTAGTTCTGAAGTTGTTAGTAGTTTAGCTAAGATGCGGATGATATTTTTAGTTTGAAGCAGTGGCCAAAGCAATTGAAGTGCCTTAATAGTGGTTAGTTCTTCAGTGCCTACTGCAAACTCATAAGGTGTGTTTTGGATTAAGTTATATAATTTGTGGTTAAATTTAGTGTTGTGGATGAATTCTAAAATTGGGATTTCTATAGGTTGTAGGAATTCGTGCGGGATAAGGAAGGGTCGGGATTCTTCGGCGTTGAAGGTCTTGGTGATGGGGCAGAAAATGTACATTTGGGTTATGGGGTCATAATTACGAAGAATACCATGGAGGTTAGTGTCTTTAATACAATATGTGAAATTTAGGAAATATGGTGAAGTGTATTTTGAATTGATGAATTGGAAACGATGGTGTGGTTGTCTAGAGGGTGTGTGGAGGACAAAGTGATTTTGGATGAAACGATAGTAACTGTATGTATGTGTTTGTTTAGTGCGCAACATAATATCGTGTGAGCAGTGTAAATCTCTTTCGTGTGGTGCAAAGAAATGAAAGGTTAGTGAAAATATTTGGAAGCGTTCTTTAAAACTTTCGTATGCTTGTGTGTCTGTTAGTGCTTCTGAAATAATGTGATCAAACTTGCGGTCGAAGATGTTTAGTGTAAATATATATGGTGTCTTGATGAAAAATTTCTCGGTGATTTGTGGATTAGCGAAGCGATCGTCGTCTAAGAATTGATCTTGGTTAGCTCTAATGATGTTGTGATCGTAGTATTCTAGCGTATATTCATTAGCTCTAGGTGCAGTGTGTATTTTTAGTGATTTTTTATATCCAACGTAAGTAAACTGTCTAGCGGTTAGTGGTGTAGTTAGTCGATATAGCATGTCTTTGTTTCGGTCTATATCGATGGAAGTGCTGGATAAAGGTAAGCAAAGAGGGTTAGTGAAATGATAGTATGAGGTCCAAGAGAGAGTGGGCATTAAAACGTATTCATCTACAAAGTTGCGTGTTTCGTTAGCGTCGTGAGGGGTGTTTAAGGTGTATTGTGGAAATGAGGGTAAAGTGATAGCTAAAAATTCTTTAGTGTTAGTATGCTGGGGGTGGTTGATGTATTCACGGGCTGTTCCTGGTTTTGCTGGGAAAGGATGGTTGGGGAATTTTCTTTTAAAAGTGCGGTAAGCTCTATTAGTGTTTAGTGAAGATATAGTGGATGTGGATGATGGTGTTAATGATTCAGTATAATTTGAAGAGGGTGTAGGGGGATTGGATGAATTTGTAGTGGAGGAGATTTGGTTTATGGTCGGGGTGTTAAGGTGGTAGGGTTGCTGTTGGAGGGTAATAAAATTATCTAGCTCTGGGGAGATTCGGGGGGTGTCTGGAGAATGAGATGATTGGTCAGATTGGTATGAGGAGTAGGTTGGGGTAACTTGGGAAGCATAAGAGGGTGTCGGAGTGATTGGGTCAGGGTTATTGGACAATATGGGTTGAAAAGGAGGTTGAGAAAAATTAGAAGGGTTATGAAAATTATTGGATGGGGATGGTTCTGAGTCGGCAAATTCATCGGGGGTTTCAATATTCGGGTTATTTAGCTGTGAGATGGAGTATAAAACTGAAATATGTGAGTTAGTGTCGGAATTCATGCCTGATGTTGCATTGCTAGATGGAAAATCGGGTGGCGGAAAAGCAAAAAGTGGTATGATTGGGATTGAAGAGGTAAGATTGGTTGGATGGGAATTTGATCGGTGTAGTGATCCAAGTTGGCGGCTCATCGTGGGCTAAAAAAATTATTATTTTGAGATTGAAAAGCGGTGGTATGGGGCTGTTCAATAATTTGTTCATAAGTATTATCATCTTGTGATTGATGTGTCATTATATGTTGGACGGGACTTTGTGATGTATTGAGTCGAAAATTTGGATTATGTGTGATTGCTAAATTTCGAAAATTTCGTGGGACTAGGGATAGTGGATGGTTATTTGGTAGGGGTGGTAATTGTGGTGCCGTTGGCTGTGTGTCGACATTGTTATGTTCTTCGTCGTATGTATTTTGTCGTGTTGTTATTTTTGTGTTATATTCTTTTATTTGTGCGTCTAAAAGAATTTTGTTTATAGATGTAGAAAAGATTCCAAAAAATCCTGCAAAGAGTATGCGTGCTACGCTTGCTTGTCTGTTTACTTGTGTGTGTATAGCACATGTGTTGTAGATTCCTTTTAAGAGTGAGAAAAGAAATCCAATAAAGTTAAACATTGCGTATAAAATAGTCAATTTTTCTAAGATGTAGTAGGGCCATCCTAGAAAATCTAGGATCTCATTTTTGAGTGTAACAAAGCTAAAAATGTTAATTGGTGATATATCTTGGGGACGGTATTTTTCGCCGTTTAGATATATATAATCTTTAATGTCTTTAAAATATCCGCTATAGTCTTGGGTGTAGATATCGGCAAATCCTGCGGTTTCTGCAAGTTTGCGTAAATTTTGGTCTATTGATTGTCTTTGTATAGTGTCCATTTGTGTTAATAATTCTTGGAATTGTTGTGTTCTAATGTGATGTTGAATATCTGATTTTGAATAGATTCCTATTGATTGTAAGTCTATATTTGGGTTTCGAGCGATAGCGCGAATGCTTTCTGGTGAAAATTTTTTGAGTGATTGCATTAATGTGGGATATGGAGTGAGAAGATAATATTTATTTTCATCAGGGTTTAGTTGTACTACATTGTGGCTATTTTCTGATCCACATGGGACTGCGGTATCCCAGAAATA